GATGGAAAAACAGGTGGCATGCATGCTATACTTTCTCCTCTTGAGCTCAGAGCAGACATCACTAATCAATCATCTGCAGGCTTGCTTGGTGTAGTCTAGTCATGAATTCACAATCTTTCTCTGTGTACTTCTCCCTAGACAGACACTGCCACTAAAGTGGAAATGGGAAATAAGACATTTGTTATTCCTACTTTGTTATTTACTCAGCTCCGTTCTAGGCATTGCTGGGAAACACGAGTGTGAGACATAATTCTTTAAAGAGCTTGTAGTGTATTTAAAGAAAAACAAACAAACAAACAAAACAATTAAGAGAGCAGCATAAGGCTTTAAAATTCAACTTAAAATGAATTGTAATTAGAAGAGGGAAATATTTTAATCATCTGTCATATATTTAATCAACACAGCAATAATGTTTTATTTATTCTGATCCAGTAGTTCGAAATTCTATCTGTTCATTTCTTCAATTTATCAATAATTCACAGCCTGTGGATAGCTCTTGAAGAACAGCTCTGTGTCCTTGAACACAATTTCTTAGATGTTTTGAAGACAATTTTGCTTCCTTTGTTCCTCTGTGTTACCTTCATTTCAGGATTAACTTGGCTAAAGATCAGAAGATAGACAGCCTAGTCAAAAGTTACAATGTGTTAATAAATAAATGTTTATGTTCAGAGATGTCTGTGAAGAGCTAATGAAAAGCTGAACTTAAAATAAAATCTCCTTAAATCGGATTAATTTGGAATTTATGATAATCTGGTCAGGGCCTGGGTAGATGGTGACCAGTCTGTTAAGTATTTGAAAGGATTTAGAAAATGTTAATGCTGCAAATAAAGTTATAAGACAAAGTCCATAATGATGTTAGAGTATTGTTTTTAACAACTTTAGAAGCATCTGCTTTATTTTTTACAGTATAATTGCATGTAATCAGAGGTTTCCCTTTTGAATTCTCTTTTGATACAGTAATTATAAATGCTACTCACTACTCATTAGTAAACTATGAGCTTTTCTAGGCATTGTTTCTTGACCTCGTTCAAATTCCATTGTGTACTTAGAAGTAATCATAACATTTCATTAAAAAATTTATAATTCAGAAATCAGGCAAATGTATTGGCTTCTCCTTATATAGTATGAGGCACTGTCTTGGTGCTGGTGGTTTTCTTTATCTTATTTCCTTTAAAAAAAATTGTTTCCCCAATCATACTTTAAACTCCAAAAAGAGGCATAGGATCCTAAAGGTCCTGGAAACCAGATGGCTTAAAATTAGATATCTAGATGGCATTAGGGTCCTAGCTCCACCTCCTTCAGGAGTGAGGGAGGCAGTAGAAAAACTAAGAACTTTGAAGTCCATCAGACCCAAGGCCAGGTCTCAGGTTGGCCTTGCTCTCTAGGCGTGTAAATGCAGGAACTAAACTCATTTCTTCATTTATGAAATGAGGATAATTCCTGCCATCAAGGGGCTAGTCAGTCATGATTTAGTATAATAATTTTTGTAAAGAATTTGGCATAGGACTGTATATTAGATAATATACTTTTGGTTATAAGAAAAGTAAACCGATTCCAGCTAACTTCACATAAAATCAACTTATTATAGTTTCTCTGTCTCTGTCTCTCTGTCTCTTTCAAATCTAAAGTTATTGCTACATCTTGGGCAGAGAACATATCAGGGCAATGTTGGGGTTCTCAGCAGTAGGATTGCATGATTATTTTCTACAAGGGTTTACATTAATAAGGCTCAGGTTTAGCCAGTCTCTGGTTACATTCCTGAGGGAGAGACTCCCATGAGCTCATCTAGGTCGGGTATAGATCAATCAACTTTGGCCGGGAAGTGTGGAAACACTGATGACGTAGCTCCTGGGGCCCCACTCTGTGTGTAAAGTGTGCCTCCCTCAGAGGGGGAGTCAGGCAGCGAACCATTTACTGTGTTCCACCATACAGCTCCTGATGCACCTGCTCTTGCTCGTGCATTTGTGTTCACACAAGCCCACCCTACCTTCTCCTATTTTCAGATGTAAACTGCTATTTGGTTAGAATTAAACTGATTAATCTAACTTCCCTCTGAAATCTTCAGTGGAGTCCAAGCAGAACCTAACTGCTCAAAGGCAAGGAAACTTGGGGTGCCATCCAGAATCATAGATTAAATTTGAGTCTTAGAACTGATTTTCTGGACCTTTCCATTCAGGTAGTAGTCTAGAGTCTGGCCTCTGTAGAGGTACAGTGGAGATTTCTGAATTCCTTTATCTACCATTAGCCTATCAACATCATGGCCACCTCTGAGTCATAGAATTTCTTCTGTAATGTAGAGGAAAAGCCCAAGAGAGCTGGAGGATTTAACTGCAAGTCCACCCTTTCTGGCCACAGGTATTGTGAGGAGACAGACACATTTAAGGGAAGCATGGAATGAAACACGAGTTGCCCTATTTCTCTCTCAGACCAAAGTTCAGAAGAAAGGAGACCATCATATCAGTTGATGGGGATTTGAGGGTAGAGTGGATTTTATCATGTTCATATCTGGGAGTCTGGGAAGAGGTGGCCCTAAGCAGTGGTTCTCAAAGTGTGGTCCCAGGATTACCAGTAATCAGTATTGCCTGGGAACTTGGTGGAAATGCAGATTATCGTGCCCCACTCTAGACCTACTGAATCTGAAACTGTGTGATGAGGCTCGGCAGTCTGTGTTTTAACAACCCCTACAGATGTTCTGATGATAGCCTAAGTCTGAGAACTACGACCCCTCTCCTCCTTCCCTGCCTGTCTCTGCTGCCTCTATTTAGGGCAGAGGAGATTGGAACCAGAGACAAGTTTGTTCCCCAAAGGCCCTTGAGATTCTGCACGTATAAGATAATTGTGGTCTTCTGACTGTGTACCACTGGCATCACAGTACACAGAGGTGCCCTATGGAGGCTCCTCAGGTTTCAACTGTATTCCTCTTACATCCTGTGGGGAAGTAGCAACCATATTTTCCCCATGCAATGAGAAATACTCTAGCAAAACAAAGATCTGTGACCCCTTACCCCGAACTTCTGAAATGGCATATGGAAGACTTGCCTTCTAATGCAGTGGAATCATTATTTGTCTCTAGGAAGAAGCATTCCTCTTTTGGACACTAAAGTCTTCAATCAATAGAGTTTAAAATCTTGGCCATGAAGCAGTTACTTTGCAGATGAATCATTAGGTACATTTATGAGAAGCACCAGCTCCACCTACCCAGACGGCTTCCCAGATTTCTTATATTCTGACCATTAAAGAAATGGCAATATATTTGGGCTGTAGGCCTAGAGTATGTATTGCATCCCTCAAGACAGTATCCCAGAATCATCACTATAGCTGAGTCATAAGGTCAGTGTCATCTTTCTAAAAAATCATCTACCTCTGCATGACAATGAAAATGAGAAGACTACAAATTCATAGGGATGAGCCCGTTACCACACTATGTAAGAAGTCAAAGCAGTGTGTAAGGGATTCAGTAAATCCATGTGCAGAAATGATGGTGGTTTATCAGCCATGCAGCCTACAGCATTCTGTTATAGCAGCCTGAACACACAGGAAATAACTAAGACAGTAAATAACAAGTAGTGAACCGAGGGGTACAAGTTGGGGACACCAGGAATGACTGTGGAGGAATTCCTCAACCACAAGGCTTCTTTTAAGTAAACAGGGGTTTAAGAGGGTCAGTATTATCAGGTGGGGCATTCTCTGACTTGGGGACCTAGTACCAGACATCAGCAAGAACGTAGAACTGAATTCTACTTTGAATAGCAAGAGCCTAGAAAACTGAAATTATTTGTCCAAGGTTATGCAAGTGACTACTGTCAGATTGAGAGCTAGTATTCCTCCCAAACTAGCCATTCATTAGGACAGATCCAGCACAGGGAAATATAGCCATTATTTTGTAATGGTTTTAAGGGGATATAATATATACAAATATTGAATCACTATGCTGTACACCTGAAACTAACATAATGTTATAAATCAACTGTGTTTCAATTTAAAAAAAATAGGCAGCTGGTTTTCACTGATGACCAACATGTTCACAAAAGTCATTCCAAGGAGCAACACAAAAGCAGTGACATCAGCATATAACAAAATGAAATTCTTTCTGGGATAATTAATTACAGAAATTGTAGTCATACAATGGCTCAAACTTCAGTGATCCCAAAATCTAATTTTCATAATCCCATCAGCAGTATCACTTTACATTTCCAGTGACCAGTTTAATAGTAAGGAGTGATAGTCAGCTATAAAATTATCAAGATTTCATTGCTTTTACAAAAAGCACTAGAAAGCAGTTCCTGGCATGTTACAAAATATCATAATTAAAATGCATCTACTTATTACAATAGCAGGATAGTGATGCCATAGCCTAGTTGTTTATTTCCTTTAGTAACAGTCATTTGTAAAATTCAATAACTTCCAGACGTTAACTGTCATTAGTACAAAATGGAATACCATATATGATTAATGACAAAAGAGAAAATGGGGCATTGACTATATATTTTACTGAAAGATAAGAATGTCTTCATTTGGGAATAAGCAATTCGGAAATGAATCAATATTTTGCTAGCATTCAGTTGGAGTATTGTTTTGGGGACAATTACTGAAGTTCTACTTATGAGTAAATTACAGTTATATTCATCATTGAAATGTTGGTTGAATCTGTCTCTATTATTGAAAATATCAATATGAAAGTCAAACATCAAAATTCAAAAACCTTTTCACTTGTTTTAATATTAGTAGCTTCATTTGAACAGAGAACATGTAATCCAGCCTCGACAAACTGTGTACCAAGAAACTATGATGAATTTGCAAATTATTTTTCCCAACTATGGACAATATCCAGCATTTGATTTTTTTTTTTAAAGATCACTTGATTTTGGAATTGACTTTGGAATCAGCTTTCCTGGGTTCTTCAGGGTGGTGAAAGAATTAATGGGGCACCATACTGTTTTTCATCGTCTCCTGATGGGAGTGTCTTCCAACAACCTAATATCCTATTTTGCTTTCTCCAGGCCACCTAATTTTTATCCATGTCCTTAATTGCTCCGGCCATTGGCACCATATGTGTCAGCCCACAAGGAACAACGTCAGTATCATTTGCTGCAACATGATCCTCGCTCCAGGTGGTTTCATGGCAAGATGAACAAAGGCGAATGAGAAAGTAATTTATTTTTTAAAAACCAGAATGCCAGTTTACTAATGGACAGTTAGAATTGTAACTGTCACACAGACTAAAATATGCATCAGTAAGAGTTGGGCTGATAGGAATATTCTGGTCTGTGTGACAGTTATGATTGTTATTGTAGCTTATGAGTTTGTTAGCGTGTAGGCTGGTGTATAAGGAAAGCCAACTTTCATCCAAAGAGTGAGTAAAGGAAAAATTTTAATTTGAACATTAGTAGTATCAGGCTGATAAAATCTGGGGCCATAGCCATTTCCAAATGGGGTGAGCCTATTATAATTTTAGAATAGAGTCCTATTGTGTACCTGAAAGTTAAGAGATTGTTATTTAATCACATTATGTCAAAAATAATCTAAATTTTACATGTAGGGGACTACAGCAATAATATTTTGGCATATCTAATTATCTGTTCAAGGTTGTAGTTCCTGAAACATAGGGACATTAAAGATTAAAATCAACACTTTGAATCTTGGAATAGAATAGTCAGCCAACATGGTGCGCAAAGCACTGACTCATCTCAAGTCATATTTGATGATACATCTCAGAATAAAGAATTTATATTTCACTTTATGTGTTGAAAGCAGATATTAGCACTTTGGCATGACAATTTTAGTGCATGCATTTTTATTTTATTATTTTAACTAGCTCGCCAAATTCTTATTGACTTTATAACAAAATCCACAGTCTAAACAAATAGTATTTATTAAAATTAACCCAGTATTTACATTAACATTTTATTGTGTACCTGAAAGACCACACACAAACATAGATTAGTAATTTGAATCCATTTGTGAAAACGACTTATATATTTGACTATATCTAAATAGCCAGCATTTCATCTATGATGTTGGTGATGTCTTACTTTCCTAGGCATTGTGCAACAGTCCTGAGCGCTGAGAAGTCTGACGTTACGTTTTGAACATGGATGTGACTTTTTGGGAAGGTGAGAGGGAGTATTATTGCCCTCCTGTAAAAAACAGACACAGACACAGACAAATACACATAGTTTTTCTGACCATTTTTAAAGACACAGAGAAAGAGTTGATGAGGAGTAAACAAGATGGTAAAATGATTTTGAGTGATACCATGTCCTTTAAAACAAATCACTTAAGTTGCGTTAACAAGCAGGAAGTTAGTTCAGTTGACCCTTAAACAATGGGGGGTGGGGAGGTTAGAGGGGCTGACCCTCTGCATGGTGGAAAATCCGCATATAACTTTTATCGTCCCTCCTTACCTGTGATTCCACATCCGCAGATTCAACCGACCAGCAGATCCTATAGTACTATGGTATTTACTACTGAAAAAAAACCATGTATTAGGGGACCTGTGCAGTTTAAATCTGTGTTGTTCAGGGGTCAACTGTGTATTGAAAAAGTAGTGCAACTAACTTCAGATCATCTATCTTAATTCATCCATTTGTTCATGCCTCCACTCATCTACTAACATACCCTATCAGGGTCCATTCAGAGATAGATGAAAATTGGTCCTTACTGTTGACAAGTGCACAGTCAAGACAGGAAAATTATTTAATCCTTTAAGCAGAGAATATTACTTTAGGTCATTGGTCTTAGCTTGTTCTTATATTATTGTGTAGTGTGATCCTTCCCCCAATCAACTTAGGTTTCTGTTCACTATAGCTCTAATTTTTTGTTTTAATGCTTTGCCTTCCTTCGCTGCATTCATTACTTCTCATTGAATTTCTCTGGATACATCTTCTGATAGGTAATTTGCCCTCTTCTTGGTTTTACTCTTTGATGTTTCTTAATTGTTCTCTTCTGGACCTCACAGCCGTCCATTGCTTGGTTACCCACCCTCTCCTAAACTTCCTGCCTCTGATGGGGTCTGGCTTGTGTTTTACTGGAAGGTAAACCATGAACCAGAAGGATAGGGACCTGGGTCCAGGTAAAGATAGTGACCATGGTTGCTATAACCATCACCATAGGCTGATGTTTCCCTTAGGGGAAGGGCTTTCAGAAGTCATAGTTTTAAAAGATGAGTGGATTAGTTAGTCCCTGCCAAAAACTGTCAAGATGCAGAAAGAGAAGGAGAAGGGTTTGGAGGAGATTGAGATTACTTTGGCAGTTTTCCAGAGTGTAACTTTAGGATAAAAATGCTTATAGACTTTTTAAATTGAGTTTTACTGTATATGATGAGATAGAACCTTTTCCTCAATAAAACTGAAGGCATTCCAGTAGTCTCTGGGACATTGGAGTTGGTTTTATTTGGATGGAGCAATGTACTGAGACCAGCCTTAAAGAGAGAAAAGGTGTCTGGTTGTATTCAGGACGACTGCACTGTGGTGGCATCCTGGTCAACTTCGACTTACTCCCTGACACTGTTCCTGACATGATAAATCATAGTTGCTATTAATAGTTCAAGGAATGACACATTTTTTTTCTTGAACATTGGGATCCTTCAGGGTAAATGTTGCTAAACTTCTGATCACGATGTTTAGCAGGAATTTGAAACTTCGGTGCGCATCACAATTATCTACGCACCTTTAACAAGATACAGCCTCTAGATAGGGCCACAAACCAGACCCACACAATCAGCTTCTACCAGGGGGACCTGCATGTGTGCATTTTCAGTAAGTTTCTTAAGTATTTCTGAAGTTCAGGAGGGTATGAAACCTCAAGCTTTCATGCCTTCCCTTGTCATGACCTCAGGGGCAAGGAATTCTGACCATGTGCTCTGCTTTTGAAAGTAGGAAAAGCGGATCTGGAACTTAGAAGCCTGGATGTATAAGGGTGTTGAGGTCGTTTTGCTGAGGGTGCAATAGAAAAGGAAAGAAAAGGAAAGCCTAGGAGGAAGTGCTGAAGAGTGCATTTAGTGGAGGACCTTGGAGGAGGAGTTTTGTTGGGGAAGAAGACAAAGACAGACCGTCAAAGATGTCGAGAGCTCTGTCTTACTTCAGGAGAGTGGAATTATTCATCAGGGCTGATGCTGCAGGATGGTGAGAATGCCGCAAAGGCAGGTGGACTTGGTGATCCAGAGGTTTTCAGGGATGTTCAAGAGAGAAAACAGTGTTGGAGGTAGAAATCAGGTCGCAAAAGTTGAAGGCTAGTCCTGTCAATCCTGACTGTGCCTCATAATCACTTGTGAAGAATTAAAACCAAGGAATTTCCGATTTCTAGCCCAGATGTGCTAAACTGAGATTTCCAGAAGAGAGGCCTGAACATTTGTTATCTGAATTTTCAGAAAGCTACACAGGGCATTTAGTACAGAAGCCGAGCCCAGGGGCTGGGGAGGATGTGGAATGTAAGAAGGGCGGCAGGAATATAGACCACTCTCTGAAAACAGAGACAGGGAGGAAGAAAAAGCAGATTGCAGAGAATTAGAGGTAGGTAGAGCGGGTGGAAGGAAACCTTCTGTGCTTTTGTTTTTCTCTGGAAGGAAATGAACATGTTTGAAGGGAAAGAATGGTTGAGACCAAGAGGTTACAGCAGCAACTAAGAAAGGGTAGTTGAAGTAAAGTCCTTGAGAAAATAGCATTGAAACCTGCCTTGGTGAAGGGGAAGGTTAGGTCAACAACCAGTTCTTATTTCATTGTTAAAAGGAGCTGAAGGTCACCCTGAAGAGCCAGAAAAGTAATTGGTTCTTATCTGTGACTACTGAGGGTTCACCTGTTTGAATGTTGCTTTTCAGTGTATAAACCCTTCAACCCACTTCCCAGCTTTGACAATGATGGGCCAATGTCCGGCTTGAGCAAGCTAAAATGGGCCTGTGGGGGTGATCCTGAAGAAGTTCAGGAAGGCCTGAGAAAGGTGGCTGCATGCTAGGTATTTCCATAGGTTTATGGAAATGGTAATTAGGCGGAGTTTAAGCTTCTGTAGACTTTCAGGTCTATTAACAAGTTACAGAGCTTCTGTAATTCTCCACAAAGACGGCCGTTGATTCCGAGCAATGATTTTTCATCACATCCGAGTGCTGAGCAGCACTTATTTCTGCTCTCAAAGAAAGTTTCCTTTTGCTCTGAGATGATTGATTTTTCATTTTAGGGGACTTCCTTTCTCCTGCCTTAAACTGCAGGAAATGTGGGGGTGATGCGTATTCAGCACGTATTGCAAGTAAATCATTAGAACTCTTGCAAACACACCTTATGGCTGTCAACCAGCTTATCCTCAGTGCATGGTTCTTCGGCAATATGTGTTTAAGCTGGTGACAATGAATACGAAAAACAGGGTCGAATTTTAACCCATGTTGTGCCCAGGCAATAGCTTAGTTTACCCGGCCACTACTTTCCTTTTCTAGGTGCAGCAAACATAAACTTTCAAAGAAAATAACCTAACTATTAAATTATTTTCAATAAAATCTAGGGCAATGTGGCTGCTGCTTGTCGCTGTGTTTATCTATTCTTTTCCTTATTGTGGGGGGACAGTCATGCCTACCTCCCCTTTTATTGTATCGTACCCTCTGTTTGGGGATTAAGAAATGCAGGTGAGCTTATTTAAGTGAATGATTTCAGGGTTAGATCTAAGCAGTAAATTTTGTTAGATTCTCTTTTTCATTCAGCTGTTGCACTTTTTAAGATAAAGTTAAAATCCACTGGGCCCTTGGAAAATATGTCAGATGGACGCATAATCTACTTGTTGACTTTACAGTCTTTTTGAAGCAAGGGTCCAGGATGGAGAACTCACAGCATTTCTCCAGGGCGCTTATACTGCCTGGAATGAGGTGAGGCTTGTTCCCGGGGCCTCTTGTAGGAGGACTTTCGGTTTAAATTTTAGCAGATGTGTCTGCCCTACAGAGATGCCATGTGGACCATTTGTGGTTATTTTAGATGTTACTCTTGTGAGTAAGAAATTACTGTTCCCCCAGATTTTGAAGACTTTATTGCTAAATTCTAAATAATTTTTACAAGTTCATTTATTTATTCTGCCAGCAAATGGAGTCCCTTCTGCTGTGTGCGAGGCACTGAGAGAGGTGTTGAAGTCACAGAAATGGGTAAAATGGATCCTGACTGCAAGAAAATCACAATCTGGTAGGGCAAGCTGGCTTGTAAGTGACTAATGGTTAGTACTTTAGAAATACTTCAATATTATGCATATTTGAATGACGATCTAGTACTTTCCATGCTGGTGTAGCCATTTAAGAGTGGATTGCTAATCCCTGAGAATCAATCAGGAAGCCTGAAATACTCTTTGAAAGGAAGTGCCTTCACCTGCGAAGCAATTGAAAGCCCCACCTATCCCTCGCCCAAACCAGAGGGCAACCTCGAGGCGCAAGAACGTCAGTCCTTAAGAAGTTACCTTGCCTTCCTCGGCCAGCACTCCAGTTCTCTCCCTGTGGTAGGTCACTTCAGTTTAAATGGAAGAGGATTTCTGTTGTCAAAAGCTCATGGTAGGATGAGTTCCTCGGGTGAAAAACCAAGCCCCACCAGTACTGAAGGTGAAAAAGAAATATATCAAGAGGAGAAATCTATTCAGAGATTGATTTTGTTTCCTTCCACAGCCAAAGTGGATTTTGAAAATCAATAAGTCCTTTGCAGTGCTGCCAAAAGCCAGCAAACGTGCCAAGTCATAAACTGTCAGAGGAGTAACTACAGGAAGGCTGCCAGGTCCGAGGCGGCTGCCTGGCCGCCTGGCTGCCACTGACCTCGTGGCGGTGTGGAGCTGGAGCCGGAGCCGTAAATCTTCACCTTGTCGCTGCTGCAGGGTGACTTGGCTTCGCGGGCAGCATACGGAGGTGAGTACTTCAGGTCTGGGGAGCCTCTCTGACCTGGTGACTGAGTTCACACGCTCGTGTAAGAACCTAGATATGAGGAAAAGCAAATCCCGCTCTTACTTTTAATTTCATTTCCCCAGGGAGAGATGGGCCCCAACCCATGCCATCCTTTCTAGAACTGCTGGAGCTGGTGTGATGGCTTTTGGGGTTTTGGAGCATGTATGAGGGGTTGCGGCTAACTGGTAGAGATAATCAAATCCATGGCAGTGACTGGAAGCTTACTTTGCAAGTAGCTCAATATGAGCTTCTATTAAACAAACGCCATTATTAAGATAAGTTTTCCATGGGCATTCAGATGGGGAGGAGAGAAACAGAAGTGGCTCGCTCCTGGAAAGAAAGTCAACCGTTTTAGTTGTCAGAATGTTCTCCCAAGAAACCAGGGTTATTTGCTGGATTTTGATAGAAATCTTAGGGAAAGTAGTGGATAACTAATGTTGAAGTAACTGAAACAAATTTTAAAATCAGTTGAGTAACTTCTGTGAACAACCACAAAGAACTATTTTGCAACCAAAAAAGTGTGACGTGTGACTGAAGCGTCTCTGAAATGTCATCGCTAGACGTGCAGTTGCCGTTCTTGGTTTGCATCGCTGCTGGACTGAGGGGAAGTGGTGCAGAATGTGATTTGGGCCCATCTTTTAGTTCTGTTAAATGAACCTTATGGACTGGCACATCAGTGAAATAGATAGGGTCTCGGATTTGCATGATAAAGGATTTGTTTCACTTGCCACATATTTTTATTTATTCATTTATGCAGTACCTCATTAACTGTCTCTTAAGGGCAAGGGGCTGGGTGAATAAGTCACTATGAAAAAATCACAGTCCGTAACCTTAAGGCACGTAGCATCGAGTTAGTGGGAGAGAGACCTACAGGTGCCGTTAATGAGGAAGCCGAGTGGAACAAACCTGGAAAGCTTGTTTGTGTTTAATAACTTCCGTCTCGTCAGTAGAAGTTGTTTACTGAAAGTGAGGTGGAAATGGTTGGCCATTTAAACAGTGCAGGAAAGATTTGGGAAGGCCAGCAGGTAGCACTAATTTGCCTTGATGAAGCTGAACCATCCTCATAAACTGCCCTGTGGCGGATAATGAGGACCAGGAACACATGAAAAAGTCCTGTGGGCTGGAGGCCACTGAGGGTGGTTGTCTCAAAACAGGACACTTCTGTCTTCTTAAGAGATGATAACTCAGGAAGCACGGAGTGGGAAATAATTTCTGGCCTTGCCAAAGGCACCAAAGAGGTAAAAGTCAACAAGCAAAAAGCCATTAGTAACGAGTCAACATCACGGGGATGAGGGTGAGAACACAATCTTGCAGCGCACCACTGAGGCGGTGGGGTGTAGCAGAATTGCTGGGGCTTTTTGTAACTCTGTGTTTAACCTTTAGAGGAGCTGCCGAAATGTTTCCAAAGGGACTGTCATCCCATTTTATATTTCCACCAGTAATGTATGAGGGATCCAATTTTACCTCATTCTCATCAACCCTTTTTAATTCTAGCCATTCTAGTGGGTAGGGAGTGGTGTTTCGTTGTGCTTTTGATTTGCATTTCCCTTACGGCTACTGATGCTGAACATTTTTCGTGTTGTTGGTAGCCATTTGTATGTTTTCTTTGAAGAAACGTCTATTTGGATACTTCACCTGGGTTGTCTTTCATTACTGAGCTGTTAAGTGTTCTTTAAGTGGTTTAGAACAGTTGCATATCAGGTAAGTGCTTTGCAAATATTTTCTCCCATTCTGAGGTGGTTTTTTTTTTTCATTTTCGTGGTTTCCTTTGAAGCACAGATTTAAAAATTTTGATTAGATCCAATTTATCTATTTTTTTCTTATCATTTGTTTTTGCTGTTGTATCTAAGAAATCCTTGTCTAACCCAAGGTCATGTAAATACTCCTATAGTATGACTTTTGAAATAGGAACTCTTGGATATGGATAGCTGAAGTGTGATACATCCAAACAGTGGAATATTAATCCTCAACATAAAGGAATATGTGTATATGTCCATGAATGACTGAAAAATTGTGCTGAACACTGGAATTTGACACAACATTGTAAAATGATTATAAATCAATAAAAAATGTTAAAAAAAACCCAAAAAAACATAAAGGAATAAAGTACTAATACATGCTACAAACTGGTTGAACTTGGAAAACATTATTTTAAGGGCAAGTAGCCAGTCACAAAAGAGCAAGTGTTATACAAGCCCATTTACATGAAAGGTCCAGCACAGGCAAATCTATAGAGACAGAAAGTAGGTTAGTGGTTGTCTGTGGCTGCAAGGTTGGGGATGGGAGGGTGGGGGAGGGCAAGGATTGTGGGGAAATAAGGAGTAATTGCTAATGAAGACAGATTTATTTTTGGTGAAAATATTCTAAAATTTACTGATGGTTGCATAACTTTGAATGTATGAATATACTAAAGGACATGAATTTTACACCTTAAAGGGGGTAAATTGTATGGTATGTGAATTAGCTCAATCAAATGGTTATGTGCATACTTTAAAAAAAAATTTGTGAGCAAGACCTCTGCCAAGTCTTTCATATTCATTATACTGTTTAATGATTACAGCAGCCCTGTTAAGGGGGGGGTTATTATTACCATTTTGCAGATGAAAAAACTGAGGCTTAGAGAGGTTAAGTAACTTGTCCCAGGTCATATACCTTGTAAATAACAGATTAAGGCAGGCAATGTGTTTGTGAAGCCCAAAGCTAACCACGGACCTCTTCTAGCTAAGGAGACATTTTATTTCAGCTCAGCTGACCTCTGTGTACCCCACTTTTTCCATCCTTGGTCATACTTTTTGTATCAGTATAGGGAAAGAAAAATGGAGGCTAAAAGCTATTTAAATAACGAGAGTAGCCTTATAAATTTGTACCTACTAAAGAAGAAACAGAATGATGGATGCCGGCTATTTAAGATGACAGCTCAACTCTCCATGTGTTTTTTCTGTACAGACACATTCTTCAAGAGAATTCATGTCTATGAACATTTTTAGAAAAGACTGTTGGAGAGAATGGCTTGTTTAAAACACTGATTTGTGCTGCAATGAATTAAGGCAGGGGTATAAGGCTCTATTTTGCTCTTTTGAAACTTTTGCCATCTGGTTCTCAGCGTCCCCTCAACATAGTTTTCAGGCTGTGAAATTCTGTACATCTTTATGAAGCCCAAGACTTGACCTTTGGGAGGGAGAAGTCTTATTTTATTATGCTGACACCACACATCATAACTCTTATTTTGCTTGGAGATCACACTCAATGTCATCGCCAACATGTGCAACAAGAGATACGTCATGTTTATGGCTAGAATATTCCTTTTATTTCCAGTTACAGTTTTCCCATAAAATCTCTACTGAAAATAATCTCCATGCAGTCATTGAATGTTATTGCTTGGAATAGAAATGCTAAAACAATTTGCTTGTTTAGGATCCTGAGTATTTCCCAACATTTTGAAGCATCTCAGTCCTCCACAAAATATCTTTCCAGCCAGAGCAGTAGTAATGTAAGTCTGTGGCTTTTCTTGTCATGTATTTTATGGGATTGTTACCTCTCACGTGTATTTTGTATTCCTCCCACGTGTATTGGAGTACAATGGGTAAATAATTCTATTTGGACTCTTCTAGATATTTTATAGCTATGATTGACATTCTCTCAAGAATTGTTCATTAAAAAAATAAAATTTCCCAATGAGATCCTTGGATGGGCAGAGTCTGCCCATCATACTAAAATTCAAAAAATACTTGTATACATCTTCAAAATTAGACCTTGTCTTCTCCCTATCATCTTTTTCTATATGTACAAATTCCCTCTTGAACTGGGTAAGTAGGCTGGGAGGGTGACCTTGCTCCAGGAGGCCAAGGGCAAGAGAAACAGAGGGTCCCTGGAGAACCCTGAAGGTCAAGCCCTGGGAACAAAATTCAAAGGGTTGACGGGGGTGGGGGTTGGGGGAGGGAAGGTTGCAAGGGAAGAAGCTGAAAACAAAGGTCAGAGAGGAAGAGCCTGGCAGAACTAGCAGGATAGGGGCAGAGGAAGCAGTGATTTGGGTGATTTCCATAAATGCAGGTACATGTGATCTGATGCAGTGAAATGACCGTGGCTTTGGAGTGGGATCTGAGTTCAAATCTTGCTTAATAAACTAGCTCCAAGAAGTGATCTTCCCCCTCTGCACCTGAGCTTATCTGTTTGATGAGCATCTTCATCATCACATCAACACCATTACAACAACTGTCACTTTCCAAATACCTGTTATATGCTAGTTATATGCTACGTAGAAAATTGTGTTTAACCACCCATACAATCCAATGAAGCTTTTTTAAAATTACTATTATTATCCTCACTTTGCAGATGGGGGAAATCGAAGCTCAGAGAAGTTTTAATTTGCTCAAGGTCCTTTCCAACAGCTGGAAAGTAATAGAACCAGGATTTTAATCCAAGTCTGTTGGACTCCATAGTCCACTGGACCACTGGCTCCGAATGACCCAGAGCACATATTACCAGAGGCTCCTAGACTCTCCCATGGACCTTCTGTGCTTGCATGTCTGGGGTGGGTCCCAGAAGCATGCATTTGAACTTGCCTCTCAGGTGACTCTTACGCTCTACATAAAAGTACTTGCTCCTCAAGGCGGGGTCTGTGGTCTGGGGCCAGCAGCCTCAGCACCCCCTGGGAGCTTGTTGAAAATGTAAATTCTCAGCCCCTACCCTGGTCCTGCTTAATCAGAACCTGCATTAGAGCTAACCAGGTCCCCAGGTGATTCATGTGCCCATAAGTTTCAGGGAGGCCTGTTCTACAGGGCTGTTGTGAGGATGAGAGATACTAAATGTAAAGTATCTACCATACCAAAAGTACCCTTTGTTACCATTCCCTTTTTGATCAAGTAGAAGACGGTGTTCTGGGAGGGCCCCCAAGCATAGGGTTAAGGGTAAACACCTGTTCTGCTCTCCCCTTCCTCTGGGATCTATGCCCAGTGCTGTTTTGG